TTTTGGACCAAACAATTATTCCTATTTTTACAATCATCTTGACCTGAGTATGCCTTGCCATTTGGTCTAGAACAAGTAAAGTTCACTACATGTATGAGACAGATTATTATGTCTCTGGACGATGTGACTGTATACAACCTTCTCAGTATACAAAAGGGTGATGAGACTGTTCTGTTCAGACTCTGAGGACCCCAGGATGCCAGGGAACGTGCAAGGCCCAGGGGTGATTTGTGGTGACTGAGAGACACTGCTGCTGTATGACTGTGTAAGGATTGCGGTAGTCATCACCAACTTGCATCTTGAGACATTCACTTTTTTTTTTTTAAAGATGTATTTATTTAATTGAATGGCAGAGTTACATAGAGGCAAAGGCAGAGAGAGGGAGAAAGGTATCTTCCATCTACTGGTTCACTCCCCAGATGTCCGCAACAGTTGGAGCTCTGCCAATCTGAAGTCTGAAGCCAGGACCCAGGAGCCTCCTCTGGGTCTCCAATGTGGGTATTGGATCCCAAGGACTTGGGCCATCTCCTACTGCTTTCCTAGGCCATAGCAGAGAGCTGGATTGGAAGTGGAGCAGCCGGGACTTGAACCGGTACCCGTATGGGATGCCTGCATCACAGGCGGCAGCTTTACCTGCTATGCCACAGCGCCGGCCCCACTTTTTTTTTTTTTTTTTTTTTTTTTTTTTTTTGGTGCCATTGGGAACTGTAACATGGAAAGTGTGCTGACATAAACCTGGAGGGCTATTGGATAACAACTCTCTTTATTTTCTGTGGTTTGGGAAACCAGAGCAATGATTTTAGCAAAACTGTGTGCAAAGTCACTATGCTGTGGCGAAGAGAGGGTTTACTTCCTATTCAGAGCCTGGCCTTGAAACGTTCTACTTAAAAGCAGTTTTATTGACTGCCAGGTTTCTTACTATATTTTAGAAAGCTGAGGTAGCCTGACAACACATATTAGATACGTGAGGTTAGATACGTGTCATGTTAGGAATACGTCTTTAGCAAACAACTTCATGTTTTGCTTCACACAAAAGCCTCGGGCATACCAAATTTCCATAATGTAAAACTCTTGGAAAAAATAAAATGAGTGACTCTAAGAAAAACTCTATGTATTATGGAGACAGATTTAAAACTTTACTGTGCCTCGTCCAATAAAGGAAATGGCACATACTGTATCATTTTGATTCCAGTTGTGAAGTCCCTAAGACATTTTTGTTTCCCAATTTGTATGTACGTTTCTGAAACCAAATCCTAAAGGGACCACCTTTTCCTAAGCGAGAACATGAGTATTCATCACAGTGCTTCTCATCAGAGGCAGGATTTGGCAAGAACAAATCCCTAAATGGATGTATCATGCCACACAATCGGGACACTCTGCTCTCCCTGAATTGTGAATAGGAGAATACCACCCGCCAGTGCATGCCTGTGCCATACAATGAGCTATTCTTTGGGGTAAGTATTAGCTGCTTTTGGTAAGAGGCCATTGAGCTACTGATAACTTTTAAGGGTTAAAGAGATTTTGCATGGACTATTTCAGTTATCTTGAGGTCTCCAATTTGTAAACCTGCATATCTGCTTATTCATAGTTTAAAAGGCACAGACTATGGGATGGGTGTTTAGCCTGGTGGTTAAGACATTGTACCCTAAATTGGGGTGCCTGGGTTCAACTCGCAGATCTTCTATCAATTCCAGTTTCCTACTAATGCACACCCTGAAGGCAGAGGTGATGGCTCAAGTGTTTGGGTCCCTGCCACCCACAAGGGAAACCCTGAATGAATTCCTAGCTCCTGGTTTCAGCCTAGTCTGTTGTGGGCACTTGGGGACTAAACCAGTTTTTGGAAGCTCTGTCTGTCTGTTTTCCTGCTTTTCAAATTAAAATGAAACAAAAAACAAAGCCACAAAATACACATACCCAAAGGCACATGGTTTGTAGAAATTATAAGTATGACCATTTTTCAGGCAAAAGAAAAACAGTGATTTCATGTCTTGGTAACCTAATCATCCCTGGGAGTTTTTGTTGTTGTTTTTCTAAAGTAATCCTGAGTTTATCTGTTCAGAAATGCCCCTCCTTTTCTCCCACCTGTCTTCCTCTAAAATTTTTGAACAAAGCCCCTTTTAAATATCTTGAGGCATGACTGCTATAGAGAGAAATCACAGTCTTAGAGGTCAGTGTTTACAGGATTCTTTTAGAGATTGTTCCCATGCTTTGGCCCATATTCTCTTTTGGAGAGGTTGAGAACCCCCACTGAGGTACTCAGTTCTCTCCTCAAAAATCAATATTCCTACCAGGAGGTTACAACCTTCAAATTCACACAGGTAGCATTCTCCTTAATGACAGTGATCTGTGCTGGTTTTCTATTCCAAAAACATTTTGTAGGATTCTTGGGAATTCAGTCCAGAACACTCATGCCCCACAGGCGGATCTTGAACTCAGCTCATACTCATCACTCAGAATCCTCCAGATTCACTCTCACCTCCAAGTGTAGTCTCTCACCTCCCACTAAAGTGTTCCCAGTGTCAGTTCTAGTACAGCCACATTGCCCTTCCAGCCGCCACCATGCTCCAAGGGGCCCCAGCTCTGTCTGAGAGGTTGATCCAGAGCTCCTCACGGTTGACACAGCTCATTTCTCCCTAAGGGTAGAATCTGTTTGTTAGCTGAGGATAACAAGAAAGCTAGGGGAAGACACTCTCTGCTTTATTTCCTATCTGTTGGGGTGGAGAGAGGCTCAAAACTCATTTCCACGTCTGTGTCTCACCCTTTACATAAACAATAACAACAACGTGAAGGGCATCAAGGTTAAGTGTATTCCTTGCAAATACAGACACTTAAAATTAAGTACCACACTCTGTTACTTATTAATGACAGCCGGACTCAGAATTGTTCCGTCATGTGCTTCCTCATTTTCCATACTTTGAACTCCCCTCTCATATTAAAGCCAAGCTGCTGTAGCACAACAATCTATTCTTTATGCATTGCATAAAATAGAATGACACCCTCCAAGTATAATCCACCATCTGGGAGATTATATTCTTCAGTGCCTTAAGCCGTTGCACCATACCAAGCAGTGTGATCACCATGAATTTTGCAGATCAATCATATCCATGATGCAAGCCTCTGTTCCCTAAGAAGGCTCTATTTTCTTCTCTAATCCATGGTCTGGCCCCAGGAAAAGCATGGTCAGAATGGAAGAAATGTGTTTGGGGAGTAACATAACCGATTCTGAACACCGGCAAGGACCGCTGATGACAGAGCTCACCAGCACAGGAGTGAGGAAGTGCACAGGGAGCTACAGAATTGTGGTGACTCTGTTACAGCCCCCAAACATGGTTTCATTGTTTGGAGACAAGATGCCTCCTTCTTTATGCAATAAAGAAGGGTCATGTTTCCTAAGTCGGGGGATGTGACGCTCAAAGACATCAGGGCTGGTAATGGTTTGCTCATGGTGCTCGACGCAGCAGAATACTCAGTGAGTGTCCTAATGTGAGAAAGCTTTGCCCTGGGATCAAAATGCTTGGCTGTCTCCTCAGCAGGGTGCAGCTCTTTATCAAGACCTTATCCACCACTTGGACAGCTTCCCACGGGTGGTAGGACTCAGTCACAGGTGTTTGTTACTATGCAGAGTCTTTCTAAAACACTTGATCGTGGAGTAGGCATTTAGCCTAGTGGATAAGATGCCAGCATCCCATATTGCAGCAGCTCAGTTTGATACTTGGCTTTATTCCTGACTCCAGCTTCCTGCTAATGCAGACCCTGGGAGGCAGCAGTAATGGTTTGTGATTGGGAGACCTGGTTGTGTTCCTTCATTCCATGTTTGACTATGGCCCGGACCCAACTGTTGCAGGTATTTGAGAATGGAAGTAGATGGGAGCTCTTTCTGTCTATTTCTTTCTGTGTCTACCTCTCACTTAAATAAGTTTAAAATTCAAATAAAAAGTATTAATAGTATTCTGTGTACATCAACAAAGTATTACCTTTATGGTTCCCATAAGAGAATATACTCACTGCATATTCCTACACATTTCCTACAGAGGAAAACATTTGATATATTAAAGCGTAGGATTTCTAACAACTAAGATTTTTATTTATTTCAGCTTATAAATTTAAAATTGTTGGATTAATGCAACACAACCTGCTAGCTTGGAGCTTTTATGTTCCAGTTCTGTGCTTTAATACTAGGAATCTGTAAACCACAATTTACTTTCAAAGCAAAATATCTTAACCTTTTAACAAATCCTAGTCTTCATTGCTTGTTCACTTCCAAAGAAACATTGACAAACATATTTAGACATCTGATATCATAGTATTGCAAGAAGATAGAAACATTTATTGTAACAGAACACCAGGCTATTCACTCTTAAATTTCTTTTTCTGCTTAGTGCAGCAATTCTGGATTGTTCAGTATAAAGAGAGATCAAAAGAAAAAAAAAAACTACAATCTTGAGTTAAGAAGTAGAATGTGGTTACCTAAACCCTATGTACAGCATATAAACATATTTATACTTTGCATGTACATAGCTAATGTTTACCTATTCATTATAAATAGTAGACTTAACTTAGATTCTACAAAAATAATCATTTAGCATGGCACATGCAAACCAGTACACAGAAACCTATTTATAAAACACATCTCTGCCTTTTTGCTTTTAAATATAAATGTTGCTATTTAGCCATCAGCTAAATGATTTAAGTGCAAACCCCAAAGTCCCCAATTTTAAAAGTATAAAATATGTTCTATCCACAGCTGCACGCTGTTTCAAGCTTTCTTCGCCTATTAGTAAAGTCTAGATGATTTTGTCACATGTGAGTTATAGATACACAGCCCATTTCCTCAAGACAGTTACATCCCTCCAGACTCAAAGCTTTCTTCGTCCTATTTTTTACTTTTCAAAATATTGCAAATAGTAGCTATTTCTTAAAATAACATCATCTTGGCATTTACGTTCTTGTCAAAATGAACACGATTAAGCCTCTTTCTCAGGCCCTGACCCTAGACACCCAGGACAATGCAGCCAAGCCCGTGCTCAATGGTTGGCTGGGCCATCTGCACAGGCAGATGATGGCGTGGCCACAAAAGGCTCGTTTTGCTTCTGATCCTCTTTCATGCCAGCTGCTTGTTCTGTGATGGAGGAGAAGGACAGCTGGTCATGCTCTATAATGTGCACTTGATCTTCATCCTTGTCCTTCTTCACATAGAACATTTTTCTGAATTTTTTCAGCTCGTGGAGTTCACAGAAGGTTTCCAGAACTACCAACATGGCAATGAGGCCAAGTAGCAGGTAACCTGTGTGAGAAACATGACAGTGTCATAGTGGAATCTAGTTACAGCCAAATCAACTATCAGATGGCTTACCCACTCCCGGACAAGCCAACACAGAACTGTTAATGGACAAATCAATTGCCAGTTTTTTAATATCTAAGAACATGTTGATGCCCTGGGCTCCAAGTGGAAAGGTCCAGAGAAAGACAATTAAGCTTCTAAAACCTTAGATTATTTAGAATCACAAGCAACAATATTTGAGAAGAACCAGAAGTTGGGGCTCATGTAGCATTGTTAAAGACAGAGAACAAACTGACCTTCCATCCAAGGAGGGCTCCAGCTCTGCTTCATCAGTGGCTCACAAAAGGCCAGGGGCATTTTAGAAAAGTTTGCTTTATGATGGGGTGTTCGGAAGAAAGCTTGTCACCTTTTTAGCCCTCAGTGCTCTTATTATTATTTCCCCCACAGAATAAGAAAATTTGGTAATAGAATTTACAACCTGGTGCAGTGGATTAAGTCACTGTTTGGGAAACCTACATCCCATGTGCCAGGGATCCAGTCCCACCTCTGCTTCCCATCCAGTTTCCTGCTAATGTGCATCTTGGGAGGCAGGAGATGAGGGCTCAAGATACTTGAGTTTCTGCCACCAGATGGAGTTCCTGGCTCCTAGCTTTGGCCTGGGCCACCCCTGGCTGTTGTGGACATTCTGGGGGTAAACCAGTGGGTGGAAGATTTCTCTCTGCATTCTTCCCTCTTTCTCTGTCATTCTGTCATTCAGATAAATAAATTAATGAATTACAATAAAGAATTGGCAACAATATTGAATAGGTCCTTGTGTGTGGCTGTTTACACTTAACCTACAAAACTACTTGCAAACAGAACTTAACCTACTTGTAAACTGAAGCTCTCCGTTACATGACAGTCATTTTTTGGACATATGACCCATTCACTGGCTAACTCTACTAGCATCTTGATCTTAAAGAAAAAGATACCTGCTGATTCTGGTACAGTACTATTCCTTGGAACTTGTGATGGGAAAATGATGATTTTAAGTTAGCTCAAAAATCAGTTTCCAAAAGAAGAGAATGTTTATCATGGAAAGAAACAGAAAAGTGAAAATGAAAACTCTAAGAATAACAAAAATCCCAATTTTGTGTCATGTCAGTAAAAAAGTTGAGGAATATTTTCAGAAAATACATGAGCCAGGAAAGCTAGAATTGGCAGAACAGAAATAAGAAGGCTGATTAGCTCAAGAATGCAAAGTTTTGGTATCTTCAGAATTTGTAGGCTCTGATAATAATATAGTGCACACAATGTATTTTCTCATATTTAAACATAGCAATGAACTTGTCAGATTGATTGAATCTGTTACATTCCTTTATCATTACTTAGTCAAACTCTCGAGTGCTGACAGAAATATCCATAGGGTTTTAGTGAAAAGTGGAGGGATTTTATCCTACCCATAACTAATATACCTTCAGAATATTCATTTGTTAGATACTTAAGTTGTTGATATGCAAAATAGAAACCAACTCTATAAACTGACTGTAAAAAACTATAATTCTATGTTGTTGCAACTGATAAAGTGTTATTTAAGGATTTGATATCATATAAAAAAGAAAAAACTGTTAGACAAAATTTATGAGAAGGCAATTTGCACAAGAGAGAAGTACAGCTGTTATGAAAGATTTTAAAAATTGCTATCAAATGCAAAGAAAGTTAACGTAACATTTATTGTGTTATCAAATTCACATACACACACACACACACACACACACACATGATTCTACTGACCAATATCACCTCAAAGCACTGACACTTAACACATAGATGCAACTAAAACACTGTAAACTTGTAAGCTCATTTGGAAAGCACAAGGTCAACATGTTCTTTGAGTCACAAAAAGGCATATTCATTTTGGGATAGCAATTCCACTTCTTAGAAGGATAACAAATAGGGAAAGGAAAAGTATAAATATACAAAGATGTCTATTTCAGTGTTATTTACAATACTCTCAAATTAGAAGAAAGCGCAGTAGCCAACAAGAGGGGCATGGATGGATGTTTGTATAGACACCTTGTGAAATATCATAAAGACTCTTAATAATTATGGTAACTAAAGGTAATAAGAAACTATCTTTGAAATCATTTGGCAAACTTCTATTGAACTTGCACAGCAGCCAGGCACTATGTAAAATGTTGAAGCTTTATGAGTGAAATCTTTGTTCTGAGTGAGCCTGTGGTTCATGGAAATGTTAAGATACACAAAATTCAAGCATTTCGTGAGGTTGAGACTACAAGGTGAAGCCAGGACAGAGCACGTGACTGCCTGTGTATCTGCTTTGATTTCCTAGAAGATTTGGTCTGAGCTAAATCACAAACTGAAAAAATCATGAGAGGGCAGGAAAAGAAAACTGTATTTATGCCATGACTGCAGTCCTTTGCATCTTGAAAAACATGGCAAAGTCTCCTGCAAAAGTGAACAGTTTCTCAAAAATGGGTAACTAATTTTTCCAAAATATTATATTGAATTGAAAGCAAAAAAGATGTTTAACTATTATGTCATTGGCTACCCAAATTTTAATGCCTATTTTATTTTACAGATATAACATTCTGAAAACAGTGTACAAAGGCTAACATTTTCAAAAAAGAACCACATGCACAAATGAGATAAGCAACTGCTTTCCGATTTTCCTGGTAAATTAAAGAACATGTTTTATAGTAACAGGCTCTGAGACCTAGTTTTGGGATGCTTAACATATTTAATAAAGTAGAGCAATTTTTTGTTAAAAATTAGGGCTGGCGCTGTGGCATAGAGCATAAAGCTGCCACTTGCAGTGTTGGCATCCCATATGGGTGCCCGTTCAAGTCCCAGCTGCTCCACTTCCCATCCAGCTCTCTGCTATGGCCTGGGAAAGCAGTGGAAGATGGCCCAAGTCCTTGGGACCCTGCACTGGCTCAGCTCCAGCTGTTTTGGCCATCTGGGAAGTGAAGCAATGAATAGAAGACCTCTCTCTCTCTCTCTCTCTCTCTCTCTCTCTCTCTCTCTCTTTCTCTCTGTAACTCTACCTTTCAAATAAAATAAAGAAATCTTTAAAAAAAAGTTAATCAAAAAGTACATTTTGTATGGAGTATATTTGGACCAAACAGAATTTTTGATGTATTTGTAATGCTTCTTACATTATTTGTAAGAAACTGGTCAGTAATTTTAGGGTGCCTGGTAAAACAAGTCAGTAGTAGTATTTATGCATAAAGAATTTTCAAAGGAATCATGAAATAGAAGAGTTACAGGAAGATAGTAAAAATGGGAAATGTGTCAATGAGAAACAATTAGTGCTTTTATGAATGATTATTCATGAGTAGACAGAGGGGAGCTTAGAACAGCAAACAGAGACAATAGGTGCAGTCTACGAATCTGGATACTCACACGTGATCCCAATCTTGTAAAGCTCCCTGAATTTTTGGTTGTAGCCTTCTCCAGGAACGTAATCTCCTAAGCCAATAGTGCTCAGGGAAATAAAGCAGAAGTAAAAGGACTCCAGGAAGTTCCAGTCATCCTCCAGGACAGAGAATACGGCGGCTGGGATGAAGAAGAAGCAGGACACGGTGATCAGCCCGAGGAGCACAGCATGCACAATGGCCACCACCTGCTTGGAGAAGCCCCAGCGGACGTGGAAGTAGAGGACTGGTCTGCGGGTGACGTGCACGGTGACACGCTGGACCACGGCCGTCAGGAACAGGAGCGTGAAGGGAATGCCGATGACCGAGTAGATGATGCAGAAGGCCTTCCCCCCGTCTGACAAGGGCACGGTGTGACCATAACCTGCAAGGGCAGAAAATAACTGAGATGAAGAGGAAGAGAGAGTAGAAAACTACTCGTGTCCACTCTCTGCCTCAAACCATGCAGAGGCTCTGAAGGTCTTGCACGACCCTTAGGCAGGTGAAGTTCAACAATGGATGTCACAAATTTGGGAGATGCACCGCACTTTGCAAAATCGGATCAGCTCTCCTAACACACCAGAATCTCTGTTTTTAAAGTTTTATTTATTTTTTTGAGAGTCAGAAACACAGAGAAAGAGAGAGAGGGAGAGAGAGAGAGAGAGAGAGAGAAAGTTTCCATCTGCAGGTTTCCTCTCCAGAAGCTTACAATGGCAGGGGTTGGACCTAGTCTGAAACTAGGAGCTGGGAACTCAATTGAGGTCTCCCATGTGAGTGACAGAGAACCTACGACTTGCACTATCACTGCTGTCTCTCAGAGACTGCATTAGGAGTCAGAGCCAGAGGTGGGAATCAAACCCAAGCACCCTACAATGGGACATGGGCAACGTAACCACCAGGCCAAACTCTTGTTGCAAATCTCTGGTTTTGAATTCACCATCAGGCTGAATAGAAGTTCTGTGTGTGACAGAATGAAGTCTCACACCATCTCAGATTGCTGCGAAAAACTCATCACAGGATTTCTCCTTCACCAGAGCGGATCTACCCACTTTTCACTGGCTCTGGGATCCTAACTAGTCAGACTCAAACAGCAGTCTACATTCATGTCCAAAACAAATTACTCACAGAACGTTCTAGTGGGAATGACTGACAAATAAGAGTGTATGCGTAGGACTAAGCTGATAAGAGTACACTAGGAGGGCGGGGAAACCTCACCTGAGACACACACATAAGAGGAAGGAAAATGAAGATTAAAATATACCAGGTCACAAGACAGGGTAATTCTTTAAAAATATTTTGCCAAATTATCTGGTTAAATGGTACATTCAGAAACCTACCTATTTCTTCTCTTGTCATTTTTGCATATTCAAAGATGCCACAAATTGCTCAAAACATTTTAAAAATTACATTAGGACTAGTAATCAAAGCATACATCTATTTTATTGCCTACTAGGTTTGTGTCATTTCCAAATCAAGCCAATCAACAGATTCTTTTTTTTTTTTTTTAAGATTTTATTTATTTATTTGAGAGGTAGAGTTACAGGCAGTGAGAGGGAGAGACAGAGAGAGGTCTCCCTTTGATTCATTCCCCAGATGGCCACATCGGCTAGAGCTGCGCCAATATGAAACCAGGAGCCAGGTACTTCCTCCCTGTCTCCCACACAGATGCAGGGGCCCATGCACCTGAGCTATCTTCTACTGCTTTCCCAGGCCATAGCAGAGAGCTAGATTGGAAGCGGAGCAACCAGGACTAAAACCGGCGCCCATATGGGATGCTGGCGCCACAGACGGAGGATTAACCTACTGTGCCACGGTGCCAGCCCCTCAACAGATTTTTCATCCAAGAAACGGCAGCAAGAGAGAACCCTGCTAGGCATGAGGCTTGGTAGACTATTTTAAAAATCGCATGAGCATATTATTCTGAGAGGACTGACATGTCTGAACAAGTCAGTTCAAGAAAAAGCCAAATAAATGCAATTTTTATGAAATAGGATTCTGAAGTCTCTCAAGTATGCAAGTATAATTGAAATGTGGTTCCAAAAGCTGAACTCTAAAATACGCTGTAAAATAAACGATTCCAAAATATTCAGTTGCAGATCCCCCAAATTCTCTGTATTGTAGCTAAGGCCCGGAATGTGGTTGTTCAAAGGCTTCCCGGATCACTCTGAACCTGCTGTTCCAGAAGGTATGCCGTTTATGAATAAACCATAGCAAGCTATAGGAATCTTCTGAAATTGTATGCAAATTTTTATATTCACCCACATATGCATGCTTTTGCAGACAGATTCTAGAGCTTTAATTCTTACAAGGAGTACATCATCTCCAAATGGTTAAGAATCATTGTTCAACCATTGGTTCCTGAATCCAGCTGGTCTCCACACACGCAACAGCTCCTGCAAAGTCATGGCTGATTTTGAGCACAGCATTGAAGGAGGGAAATGGGTAAGTTGGACTATCCAGAGAATAATGTGAGGTATGCAACATATGGGAGCTGGAATATATGAATATTGTTTCATTTTAAGGAAAAAATGTGACAGAAGAAGGAGACTTGAGAATGAAGCAGCCCACATCACAGAAACACCAGAACTCACAGGAGCTATGATTTTTAGAAAGGATGTTCTGATATCTGGAAGTAGAATCTGAAAATGGAATTTTATTTACAAATGGGAAGGCTAGTACAAAGTTAGTTATGAGCCTGTGTCTAAAGTAGTAAGAGGTAATAGTGTTTAATATGGGTGGAGGGTCTAGTAGAGACTGCACAGGATGGATTTCACCTTGGCCAGGATTTTGTAGAGGATTGGCTGAGTGGACTCAGACTATGCAGTAGTCTTCAAGTCCATGATTTTATTATCTTTCTGGTAGTATTTTGATATACTAGCTTTACTAAAAGTGTAACACATCAATTTCGCACAGCCTACATGTTCTGAACCATCTGTTCTGGTAAATTCCATGATTTAGGTTCTAGTAGAGAAAAGTAAACAAATTTCTAGTTTTCAAATCTTTTAGCATACCATTTTTTCTCTCCCAAATTGGAAGCTCTTTTTATGTTAATGTTAACTAAACCTCATTCACTAAAATGCTATCTCCAAGCAATAAAGATCATCATCATTACAATACCTTGGGATATCTTTCTGCAGTAATGACATTTTTATGCCAGTCATATATTCTCACTATGAGATTAAAAATCATCAACATGTAGATTCTCACTAGAAGCCATTTTTCTTCTCTTGATGCTTACAGAAATGTGATTAATAGAAAGTAAAATGTAAAGTTTACATCCCATTTGTACTGTCCACACTTTCAGTGCAGGCCATATCAGGAAAGCCCTCGTCTCTACTGACCACACAGCAATTCTGCTGCAGTAGACAACTTCATGCACCAGATGGAAACTTCCAGTCCTATTGAATTTTAATGAGGTGGTAAATAATTTACTCAAGTTCCATCAGTTGAACCTCTAGATAAATCAAGAAGGGAAGCTCATTTTTTAAATCTTAGAAAAAATAAAACCCATTACAAACCATGAATTTTTTAGCAAAGTGTTAACAAATCTTCCATATTTGGGGTTCTTCAAATTTTTCTAAGGCATTCATATAATTTTAGGGTTAAAAAGCCTATTGAGAAGAAACTGACTTCAAAAATTTGGTTATGATTCTGCGATAAATCCTCACATACTGATGTCCTTGTGTTCTAGCCTCCTACTACACAATTGTTAGGTTTCCTGCTATGATGCTCCACCTGTTGGGTATGCTGGAGTACATGGTTGGCCATACTGATGACTGACAGTCTCCTATGAAATCTGGCTTCCCATTTGGCTATTTTATTTATTTTTAAAGATTTATGTATTTATTTGAAAGGCAGAATTACAGAGAGGCAGAGGGAGAGAGAGGGTTTCTTCTATGCCCTGGTTCACTCCCCAGATGGCTGCAATGGCTGGAGCTGTTAGGTAGGAAGTCAGAAATGAGCTTATGTGTGTGTGACAAAGGCCTAAGGAGTTGACATCTAGGTCCAGCATCCACATCTGAAAGTCATCCCGATAACCTCCCAATGCAGCCCAGTATATGCACTTCAAACGCCCTGCCCCTTCTACCCGATAACCATCCTTCCTCTAGGGCTCCTCTAAGGGGGAGGGCTACGCCAGCCAGGCTTCCTCCTGCCTGATAACTTCAGGGGGAAAACTCAGATAGGAATTTTTCATATTTCTATCCAAAAAGTCCTTTGTTCCAGGAGGAGAAGGCAAGACCCATCCCCTTAACCTCCCCCCATCCCCGCCTCAACTGGACTGAGTGCTCGGCCCTCTGCCTCTGTTGAGGGGCTGCCTGGCCTGCCCAGGTGTAATCTCTCCACCCAACCATGTAACCTCGCTCTCCCCCAGTCTGAGCGACTGGGCGCTCTCTCTCAGGTTTTGTCTGGAGAGGTGCCCATCCATTCTTACGGATGCCCCTACCCTAATAAACCTTGCTATTTTGCTTTCCACTACTCTCTGTCTCACGCCTGAATTCTTTCTTGCATGAAGACAAGGACCCTAGCTTCTCCAGTAACAGAGCCACACCGATCAGAAGCCAGGAGCCAGGAGCTTCCTCCAGGCCTCCCACGTGGGTGCAGGGGCCCAAGGACTTGGGCCATCTTCCACTGCTTTCCCAGGCCACAGCAGAGAGCTGGATGGGAAGTGGAGCAGCCAGGACTCAAACCAGTGCCTAGATGGTATGCTGGCACTGCAGGAGGTGGCTTTTCACTGGCCCCTTGGCAATTTTTAACTACAACAGGCCTGACGCTGTGATAGCTAATATCCAATTTGGGGCAATGCTATGCTGAACATGGCCATTCTGGTTTTTCTGATACTTAAGTCCTCCTAAGTGAGGTCCAAGACAGGGAACTTTTGGGGCCCTTATTTAATGCAACAAAGCAAGCCAGTGATACTTTCTTCACTTATATAGATGCTTTAGAGAGAGGTGCAATTTATTGTGTTACAACCCTCTCCATATAAGATTCTCATTTATTTATATTATCTAGCAGGCATTGTGCACTTTCTACATCAAGTTAGCTTGAAGTGCTTAAAAAAAAAAAAGCTACAAGACTCTCAGGCTCTGAAAACAATGGAGACACTGATGCCGGCGCCGCAGCTCAATAAGCTAATCCTCTGCCTGTGATGCCGGCACACCGGGTTCTAGTCCCGGTCTGGGCACCGGATTCTGTCCCAGTCACTCCTCTTCCTGTCCAGCTCTCTGCTGTGGCCCGGGAGTGCAGTGGAGGATGGCCCAAGTGCTTGGGCCCTGCACCCGCATCAGAGACCAGGAGAAGCACCTGGCTCCTGGCTTCGGATCAGCGCGATGCGCCCGCCGCAGCGGCCAATGGGGGGTGAACCAACGGTAAAGGAAGACGACCTTT